GTGTAAAAGAAAACCAAGAAGAAGAAGATGAGAGAAGGAGAAGAAGAAGAAGAAGAAGAAGAAGAAGAAGAAGAAGAAGAAGAACGTCAAGAAACGAAAAAGGGAAAAAAAAGAATCCAAACTGCCGGACCTACCTTCGCGGCTATGGGGGGCGGTTGCAACGAAGCGGGCTGGCGGGGAGAGGCAGCTGCAGGGCTATGTCGATGGCGGGCTGGAGACGGGGCGCTGGCACTGGTTATTTTGTCGCAGCACACGACATCGACGTGCATGCTGAATGGCGCGACGTCAACGTCACGTGCTGCTGCACAGGACTGGGGCAGGCGGGGCGAAGGCAGCCGAAAGCAGGCCATGAGGAGATTTGAAAACGCGGCCGATTTCGGCCGCAGATCCGCAGATCCGCAGATCTGCGGTCGAAATTGACCGCGTTTTCAAATTCGAAAACAGGGGCCTACCATACCTCGTTCTCTTCAGAAAATGTGCGGCTGATCTCCACTGTCGATCTGCACCGATCGACGACAGATATTGGCCGTTGGTTTTCTTAAGAAAACGGGGTCCAGTAGGCCCCAGTTTTCTTCCAAAGTAGTGGCGGCGGCCGCCCAGAGGCTGGGCGGAGACAGGGACGCCCAAAAATCCCCAGTACCCCCCCCCAAACGCAGTGCGCCCGATTGAATCGGGGACCTGCCAGGCTGGTGAACCGCCCGGTCCTACCGGCAGGCTCCCAGTTGGTCGAAGGTCCCCTGGTCCATCCGGGGACCCACACTGCTTTAAATATAATTTAAAAAATTAAAATGCATAAAGACAAAGAAAAACCCCAAAAAAAGAAGATGAAATGGGTCCCGTGTTTGTGTGTATGTGTGTGTGTGCGCCCACGCGCACACACACGTGCGCACACATACGCATGCGCACACACATACACGTACGCACACACACACACACACACACGGGACTGGATGTTGGGGGGGATTTCCTTTCCTTTTCAAGAGGGGTTGTTTCGCGGGGGGGTTGATTTCCTCTTTTTGTTTTCAGTTTAAATCGCACGGGGGTGCTGGGCCACGTACCCGACCCCCGCAGACCCAATCCGTTGAAAACAAAATGGTGGTAGGCCCCCCGAAGGATTCACACTGCAAACATCCCGGATCCCGATTCCAGGGTCCCCAAAGTGTCTCAGTCCTAGTGGGACCAGCCCCAGGTGGTTCCGGTCCCAGGCTGTCCCAGTAGGGTAGGTTGTAGGGTCTAGAGGCCAAAGCGTCGTAGGCTAGTTGGTGTCGGTACCGAAACATCGTAGGTTGGTAGAAGTCCGTCCGGTACCCGACAAGGAAAGTCCAGTCCAGTCCAACAGTCCCAAGTCCAATTTTGCAGCATGTCCAAGGAAACTCCGAAAGCAACCGGACCAACAAAACGATTGCAGCAGACAGGCCTCGGCCGACCGCTACCGGTCTGAAGCAGGCCAAGCCAAGTCAACTCCTATATTTAGCTGCTACAGTGCAGCGGCTCATCACTTGTTCAACTGCGAGATGCGGAAGCGCTGCTCCTGCTTGCTCGTTAAGGCGACTTGGGCACTCCGCGCCTGAAGGAGGAAGGGGGTGCTTGAGAGTTACTCCATAGCTAGGGTAGAGGGAGATAGGAAGGAGGACGGCCATAGACGCCAAGTGTGAAGGTTACCTGAGTGGGTTCATCCAA